TCATATGTACAAAAGATTCTATAGATAACTATATATATATAGGGTGCTAATACCTTCCCTTTATATAACAAACCCTCTTACTCAGGTCTCTCCCCAATGCGTTGCGTCTAGTTCATGCCAGTCGCATCACATATCTTTATTTATTTAGGGTATTTCAAATTTCCCCTTTTCCATCTTCTTTTCTTGTTTTGAAACAACAAATCTTGATGCTCGCAGAATCTTTTAAAATAAATAAAAAATCAAAAGAGTAAATCGTTTTGAGCCTGAGATTCAAACTCCGATTCGATTCCCTCGTTTGTCACATTTTACCGCGAACAAGGTCAATTAGGGTTCTAAAAGTTGAGTTAGTGCTTATGACACCACGCAGACGCCAAATACTTTCCTCAACTGAACATGAGGAGCATCAGGACATCCAAAGTGTCGCACTAACGTAGCAATCATTTTGAATTTTCGGTATACGCCTAACAGTCACGATGATTTATTGCTACTTACCTAAGGAAACCTAGATCCGGGTGTAGGATCCCCCACAAGTATAATACCCAAGCAACCCTTAAAAGTTAAGCAGATAAGTCAAACAATGAAAGCAATAAAGTGATCTAAAGCCCTAAGGTAGCCTCTCTTTAGGGTGTTTCCTCAGCAGAGTCGCCAGTTCTGTGATACGGTGGGAGAACTGACTTGTTTGTTTTGCGTTTTATTGCAAATGTTACGGATATCAAGAGTCGCCGCTGACTTTTCTTTTATCCAATTCAGGGAAGGCGAAAAGAACAGGAAAAGACCTTCATTAGATTCTGAGTATGGGAGGTAGTTATGAAAAGGGAAGGTATTAACACCCTTTCCATCCGTAGTTACCTACGGGCTCTTAATTGCTTAGCTCATTTTATAAATTGCTTTCTGTGTGTGTTTGACAAGATATTTTGAAAAGGCATTTCTCTTTGACTTCGTAATGATTCTCGCTGGAATGTATACAAAGTGTTTGGAAATGTTTTGTTTTGGAAAAGTGTTTAACTTTGTAATGATTCTCGCTGGAATTTATACGAAGTGTTTGGAAATGTTTTGTTTTGGAAAAGTGTTTAACTTTGTAATGATTCATTAGTTGGTAGGTAACTATATCCGTTGGATGTAAAGTTACGTTCATAGGTTCATCGTATTGTCATAGAAGGCAACATGTAGGGATACCTTAGAATATTCGTAGGGACGATCATCACTTTTTGTAGGCAACAACCAAGGGACGAGATCATATATTCGTAGGCAACAATCGAGGGTCATCGAGGGACTATGATCTTTGAATTTGAAGGTATTGTGATGATATTATTCGTGAGCGTCTTAGCTAAGATATCTCTACGTTCGAGGGACATGACCATCTTTCGGAAGGCAACAAGAGAGGATACCCTAAGGGGTGTGCAAGTGTGAAGAGTGTGTTGTATTCAAATATGTTATCTTGAAATTAGAAGTGATCTAGGGTTGATTTTAGTCTTAGCATGCAAACCCTAATTACTAGCAGTTAGATATATGTACAGGAATTAAAGTGCAGAAAGTAAAGTGCGGAAACGTAAATCCTACGTTATTACATGGCTTTGGGGCAAATACATAATAGAAGTGCGGAAAGTAAAGTGCAGAAATGTAAAGGTGCGAAAAGTAAATCCTACGCTATTACAAAAATGACCTTGCGACCTATACATCGATTTCTAATATTTAAATGCGAAATAAAAGAAATAAATTACAAAGAAAATGTATAATGATAAGAGAAAATATCTAAACCCTAATTGCAAAGGAAAAATATTTTTTGGATTGATTTTAATGTAGAAAAACCTAATTTTAAGTTATTTATTAATTAATTATGAAAAATAATTTAAATTGTGAGAAAAATAAATTACATGTCAAAAATTAATTAAATGTTTAATTAACCTAAATCTGAAATTAAAATATTTTTGTGATTTTTGAAATGGTTTTAATTAATTTTGAAAAGAAAATTAAATAAAATTAAGAAAATAGAAAAAGAATAAGAAAATAAGAAAAGTGAGAAAAATAAAGGGGTGGCGCTGGGGATCGAACCCCAGACCCCTGGGTTATACCATGTGCGCGCTTACCAACTGAGCCAGGTTGCTTGGTTATTTTGGAATTACAACCATTTGCTTATAAGTGTCAAAACGTTTCATTTTGCTTTTCAAACGCAGTCAAACTGGGCCCCGTTGTTTTTTGAACAAACCAATCGCGATGCTCCATTTGGCCATGCTAGCCCTTGCTAGAGTCAAACAAGACTGCAGACGTCGGAGTCAAACTCCGGTCATCTTCTCCGGTAGCCACGATAATCAATCCTGCAAAATAGACAAAGTCGAAGCAAAAATAAAACCCTATCCCCCTAATTCGACCCATGTGAGTTCAATGGTGCCATCGTTTTGGCCTGAAAACGCCTGTATGGTGAGTTTCGAAGAAGATAGGTTGAACTCCTCTAACCATGGAAATTCATGATTCTGACGTTGCAAACCTCATGCGATGTATGGAACCTGTTCTATTGGATCTCAGGAAGACGTTAATGATGTTAGTTTGAATTAAAACACAATAAAAATAAAAACACAAAATTCATAAGTATGGTGCAATTGGAACTCATGATATGTATGATTCAGGGTGTTTATGCAATGGATAATGATCCATTTTTACCCTACTATACCTCAGGAGCAAGAATCGTTGCTTGGAAGTGCCTGGAACTGGTTGGGATTTGGAATTTGAGGATGCAATTTTCTTTGAATTTTTTGGAGAATTAGGGTTCTTTGTAGAGGCAAGGATTCGTTCTTCTTGTAGTCTGAATGTATCATGTATATATAGAGCATGAGATTAGGTCAAAAATAATGAGAAAATATATTGCCTTGACTGCAAAGAATATCTTATTTGAAATTCCATCAAATCTTTCCCAAAATGGCTCAATATTGCCTTAAACTCTTGTGCACGAAATTGGTAGCTTGTGATGGGCTTCCTTGGTCCTCAAGACAAGTAGAAACCAAGCCCAACTTGTATTATCAATTATCTTTGTATTTTATTTAATTAATTTTGAATTTTGACCTTTCAATTCAAAAATAAATTAAATAAAAAGATAAGAGGCGTGTAAAGGAGTATAGGGGCCATGGATAATCTCGATAATAAGTATGGATCATGAAAACTTAAGCCCATTTGAAAAATATTTGCATTTGCTAGGTTTTTTCCTTTGTGCACCTCCTCAAAAATGTCAAACTTGCACAATTTGTATCTTGCCCAATTTTCAACATTTTTTAGTGTTCTTGGACTTTTTAGAAATCTCAAGATGTCCTCTAAACACTCCTTTTGGTTTCATCTTCATTTAAGTTTCCATGTTCATGTACACTTCTTTGCAAAAAGATGACTTTTTGTTGACTTTTAGAAGGACTTGTAATGTTTTGATCCATAACTTCCAAATGAAGCATTTTTGGCCAAAGCTTGGGAGACATGAAGTTGTAGAGAATTGAATTCCCTTCAAAATGAGATTTAGTGGAAAACTTTCTGATAAAGTATGTGAAAGTTATGCTTGGTCAAAGTTCTGTTGACTTTTATTTGAAAAAAACCCTAATTTATAAACTTTGACTTTTGATCAAATCTTAACTTTCCTTGAGGAATCATGGTCAACCCTTGATAAAATGATGAATATTACTTCAAAATATCGATGTTGACAAAAAATTATGAAGTTTGACTGTATGTTGACCACAGTTGACTTTTTGTCCAATATAGCTGATTTTCAACCATCTGAGCAATTGGATGAGCAAATTTGACTTGTAAGGCTTGAAACTTGACATGGTGTTGCACCCCAAAATTTACCCTCTTCTTTTTCGTATTTCTGGCTTATAATTCGATTGCATAAACATACCTGTAGGTGCATGCATATCATTGATCATGGGGTTACTAGGTACAAAACATCCCAAGTATGAAAGAAACAGTTTGTTTTAGCTATCTCAGATCATTTTGGGCCAAGAATCAATGTTTCTCGGTTCGTACGACTATTTGCAAGATTTTTTGGTCAGGAAGCTATTTTGGCTTGGTTCCACAATCTATGGAATCATATCAATATGTCCTCTAGATTATCTGTTTAGGTTGGAGGTCATTTCGTCAAGAAAACTGAATTTATTCGCTTATTTCTCAATAAAGTGGATTTTGAGTTTTCAGTGTGTTTCGGGAACTCCAGAGAGCATATCTCACAGCTCGTCAGGTTTTTTCTTATGAATTTTGACTGGCATGTCCCTCTCATTTTTATCTACAATTTTTGTTTGAAAGCCGGAAGCAAATTATATGAGGAAGGTCCCCGAAAAATTCAATTTCTCAAGAGGATTAAACTGAATTTTAGTGCTGAACCGTGTGTTCTGCCCACTAAAAAGTTCATATCTCTTAGCTGGAAACTCGAAACTGAGCGGGACCAATTTCTAAAATTCTGTATCAAACCCTTCTACAACTTTCATTTACAACTCGGGAGCTGATTCCTCACCGTTTAAGACCAGTCTTTTATTCTCCGGACACAATTTTGAGCTGAACCGAGCAATTTTCATCTGGTACGTGAACTTCAAAAAATCATATCTCACTTGTTTTTTATCGAAACAAGATGGGACCAGTGCCAAAAGTTCACAAATTTTGTTAGATTCGGTTGTCTCATAAACACTCACTTGCAAATTTTGATCAGAAGATCCTCGTTCGAAGCATTTTCTCCGAAGAGCGCATTGAGAATTCTGCATGCGTCAGACGCCCGAAAACTGTGCTGAAACTTCAAAAATTCATATCACATTGACCGTTCATCTGATCGCGTCGAAATTTTAATTCCCACAAGCAAAATCGCGTTCCAGACATTTTTCGTTTATATTCCAATTATTCCGCACGGATTTGGCTGTTTTGGACTGTATATGAAAATTATTTTGATAATCACGATTTGGATTTAATTGTGGATCCAAGGCACTCCAAAGCCAAATTTTTTACACTATAAATATATTTTACCACTAACAAAATGGGGAGAGAGAATCATTTGTTAAATTTGACCCAAGAGCTCTCACTTTCCTCTCTCAATTTTCTCTCAACTCAAAGTTGCACAACCACCTCAAACCACCAACAACCACCACCGGAATTCCAAAACCACCGCGCCGGAAAACTTTTTCTTATTTGTTTCTTCTTCTCTCCTTCTCCGGTACAGCCCCATACTCTTCTATTCCCTTTCAATTCTCAAGGATCAAATCAAGCTTTTCATCAATCAAGAACATTGAAGAGCGTTTATGGTGTCGAGGTGAAGAGTTGAAGTTTTCCTCTTCATCAATTCTTCAAGGATTCAAGATCCTCCTCTCTTATTATCATCAATTCAACTTTGATTTGGTATTTTCTTGGAGAATTACAAGATTTTACTCATCAATTTCAACTCAAAGCTTCAAGTACAAGTAAGAGCTTATTTACTTAAGTGTTTATTTTAATCAATTTTTCAATTGTTGAATTTCTTGAAATTGAATATTGAGATTGCTCGCAAATTCCGTGTGGATTCCGATTATAGCATTTGTTTTGTCGAATTCATTGATCTTGATCCATTTTTGGAGCTTTAAAGGTGTCGGTGTGAAACTTTCTACACACTACACACACCTACACTTGTGTTGTGACTTTGCATTGTATTTAGGTACTTGATGTGAGCATTTTGCATCACAAATTATATGATCATGCATCAAGTAATATATAAATTCTTTGACATGCATTGAATCATTAATTTGAGGCTTATTTCGTGCATTGAAATTACGTTGCAATGTAGGAACTAACACCTAGTTTTTAGGTACACTTGCACTACACCTACACATTGCACACAACTCACATGGACACACTTGAATTCATACATTATCACATAAATTGCATCTTTGCGTATCCATGCATTTGCATGTAAGATAGTTTAACTAATTCGATGTGGTGTTGTTCAACTTTTATGACATGAAAATATGTTGAAATTTCACTTTTCACAACACTTTACCACTTTGCACATCTAATTTCTTTCAACATTCTTACATGTTTGCATAGCATTTAGGTAGTATTTCATTGAGTATGTATCACTTGCACATGATATCACATACACTTGCATTTTTATTCATCTAAATACCACTAAAACACATTGGAAACAAGTTTATTTAAGTTTGGTGGAAAATAACATGACACTTTGAAAATTGATAAAGTTGGACATAATATTTGTTTTGGCTCTAAATTTTGATCCGTAATGAGTTTTTTCGACTTTTCTTGATGTAAATCATGTTTCTCGATCCATTCCAAGCTCTCCATGTGAACGGTTTCTTGATTTGGACATGTTTTGGTCAATTCTGGAAGCTGCTGACCTTTGTGCGAAAATTGTATTTTTGAACGAGATTTGATCGAACCGTTCGCATTTTTGAGACCGTGCGCGTGTGCATAGCTTCCGATATTTTTGATAAATCGTTTTGATTGTTTTCTTTAGCTTATGCCTTGTATTTTGGTTCACTTTTCAAATTTATCCATAATGGTGTTTTTTGACTCGAAAAGTGTCGGAGCGAACCTTTTTTTGTACACTACACACACATACATTTGTGGTGTTGATTTTCTTTGCATATAATGCCTAATACTTGTTCTAACCTTCAACTAACCTCTTGACTAATATGTGGGCATGTTTAAGTAGTTGGCGCTTTAATTTAGAACCCTTAATTGAGTCATATAATTAGGATCCCATGGTAGCTAACCGTTAGAGCGACGATTGATCGTTTTGGCTTCATTTTGTGCACGAATATGTTTTAAGCATAATTTTTCTTGTGCATTTCATTTGAGATCATTTAGTATGAGTTAGATATTGACTTGCATGATTTTACATCTATTTGAATTCAATAGTTTCTTAATTCTCAAGTTTCGATTAACTTGTAATGTTTAGAAACATGTTTTTCCTTTGTCGTTTGAATTGACTAATCTTAGGAGTGTAATGCCATTTTTTTCTTTGAAACTTTAGGATGTTTTCTACCATATAATTGTAGTTAAATTTGTACCTTACCTTAGGATTGTAAATAGAATTTCAAAGCTAACTTTTTATGGTTCGATTCTTAAGAACTAGTTTGATAATTGTATAGTTTTTCTAGCTTCCTTTCGCATGTTTAGTTTGTGGTTTTCCCTCTATTTGTTTAGATGTTTAGGAAAGCTTTAGAGAATGTAGTTGCTGCCATCTATTAAGGATTTACCTCTCATGCTTTGTTTTTTTTGTAAATAATGCATTTTAAGTCATTTTAGTGTAGATTTTTGGTTTCTAACTCTTCTAGATCTTCTAATCATGTTTAGCATTGCCTTCGAGAACTTTTGTGATGGAATTAGCTCGATTTTGATATCATTCATGGGTTATTTGATGTTTTACCATCCATACATTTCTTATTTGATGTTTTGCTCATCCATTTTCATTATACGATGTATCGTCATTCATGTCTAATGTATCATCATTCACATACACTTTCACCCGCATTTGTACGGATCGATTTTGTTCTCCTTAAGTGACTTATCCGTGAATTTTTCTCACACATGTTTGTATGCTTTGGTTGATGTATTGATGTGTTTGCTACTGTATTGTATGCATCTTAGCCTTTCATGGTTCATTTTCTCTCATTCATGTCTTTTCTTGGCTTCTTTTGACGCGTAAACGCTTTCTAGGTCAAAGTTTTAACTAGTTTTTGCACTAGTGTTGTAATTGCATCTTTGTGACATTTTCTTTATGATTTGATTACCATTTTCTTCATGTGATGTTGCTACTGTAGTCACCTCATCTTGATACTCACTTTTTATATTATGTATGTCACACACTTGTATTCACGTCACCACACGCAATTGTCGTCCGTTTACGCACTCTTGTAGGATTTCGTTCATGAAACTTCAGTGGTTTGGTTTGCATGATGTAAATAGGATATTAGCATGTTAGCTACTGACTTTTATGTCATTTTATCATATAACTCTTCTTTCATTTCATCTATGCTTAATATCTTGCACGATTTGCTTCCCGTATGCTTTTAGGACTAGTTTCGACCTAGTTTGACAATTAACTTTGCATGTGTGCATTCATGGTGATGTTTGATGTTTGTTAAGGGTTTGTATAAACCTTGTATATGTATGTTGTGTCTACTGACCTCACTCCACATGGCACCTTGCATGATTTCTCAATCACTTCTTTACACTTTATTTTCTTCCCCGTTCTCTTGGTGGTTAGCTATTGCGCTATTGTTTGAGATGTGTTATCATCATCCATTATCTTCTTGATGTATCGTCATTTGTAGCTTAGTGTTTTATCACTCTACCTTGTTATTTCTAATTCATCTGCCGAGTGTGCAAGGGATTTCTATCTGATGTTCATCTGATGCGTGAAGTTTTGTCTGACATCTTGAAGTGCACCTGAGGTGATTTCTCACACCATGCGATGAAGTTCTTTATTTTTAGTTAATCATTTGATGTATTTCGATTGGGTTGTATTATTTGGACTTTTATTCGGACTTTTGATACGATACATCCCCATTCATAAACTTGTATCCCCATTCCCATATGGTTTGTAATAGTTTAGAACTACTCCACCAATGAACACATAGCCTCCTCTTGGACTTTTCACCAATGATCACATGGCCTCCTCTTGGGCTCTTCACCAATGAATACATGGCCTCCTCTTGGGTTCTTCACCAATGAACACATAGCTTCCTCTTGGGATATTTGTCAATGAAAATGAGTTCATGATCGTTTGTTGATACAACTTGGGCACACTTGGATGGACGATGGCGCTTTCCAGCATAGCTTTCTTACCTTGTGCGTGTTGAAGGGGCAACGAACTTTCTCTGTTAGGCATCATTATCACCCTCTTTATACATGATGTTTCACCATCATCTCCATGCATATTTTATCTTTTTTCATATGATGTTTTGCCATCCATGTCTACTATCATGATGTTTTATCATCCATGCCTGATATATCATCGTCCATGCATATTTTATCTTTCTTCATATGATGTTTTGCCATCTATGTCTATTATCATGATGTTTTTTCATCCGTGCCTGATGTGTTTTCATTCATGCATTTTATTATCCTTTATATGATGTTTTGCCATACATGTCTTATCATTCTTTCTAAATGTGATTGTTTACTTCTTTATCTCTTTTATGAGATTGCCATGTTTCCCATAGGATCTTTAGTTCATTCTTCTCCAAGTTTGAACTAAATAGACCTTAGGTTTGCTATCAATGCATGATAACTTTAGGTAGATTCTTCCCTTTGTTTATACCCTAACTTAGGAGCAACTTTGCATGATAACATTAAGATTTAGAAGTAGGTTAGCTTCCCTTAGCCATTTTACCTTTATCCTTTTGCATCCTTAAAATTAAAATCTTGTTTTTGTCAAGTGCATTAAAACACTCTAATAATCTGAAACTTTTTCCAAAGTAAAAGATACAAACCAATTAGTCTTAGGATGTTTCGTCATCCTGCTGCTGATGTTTCGTCATCTCATCCTCTGATGCTTCTTGATCTTCTGATGTTTCGTCATCTCATCTTCTGACGTGTCGTCGTCCTGCTGCCGATGTTTCGTCATCTCATCCTCGGATGCTTCTTCATCTTCTGATGTTTTGTCATCTCATCTTCTGACGTGTCATCGTCCTGCTGCTGATGTTTCGTCATCTCATCCTCAGATGTTTCGTCATCTCGTCCTCTGATGTTTTGTCATCCCGTCTATGGCTGATGTTTCATCATCATGGAGGTGTTTCGTCATCGTTTGCTGTTTCATCTGCTAATCTAAAAAACACAAACCAACCAAAATAAGTGAGCCGAACTACAACGCTCTGACTTTCCCATTGCACGAGGAAATACGTAGGCATCTTGTCGCGGGGCTAGATCGAGCAACCTTTGTAAATATTATCTTCTTTTCCCCGTGTTTTCTTTCTTTTATTATTTTCTTTTATTTCTTTATTCTTTTCTTTTTTGCATGCATTATACCATATACAGATATAGTTAGACCTTTACACCCATTAGATAGAAAGTAAAAGCGGATACCGTAGAGTACTACAGATGTGTGGGGTGCTAATCCCTTCCCCTCGCGTAACAGACTTCCTTACCCGATCTCTCGGTCGCAAGACCGTGATTTCTTCGTTTCATGTTTACTCGATGTTTACCTTTCCCTCTTGGCGGGATAAAAAATGTTTGATGGAGACTTCATTGATATATAGTTATATCCTTTGATTTTCGGTCGGGTGTTTCACATGGTGATCCCTTGAAGCATATGATGAGGTATGATGACCATTTGGAGCCTTGGAAATTCATTATGACTTGAGAGAATCAAAACCCTAGTTTAGATTGATTACTTAGAAGAGGGTTTGTCTGGTCAACCCTTGTGAAAACCTTAAGTATGGAGATGTGAATTGTCTTGAGAAGTAGGA